ATGGAGAATGCGGGAACAGCGAGCTCTTCACATAAACCTACATTACAATTAGACATTTTATATATATATATATAAAAAAAAAAAAGAGTAAACGAAACTGTAAGCGTATGTTCGTCCATACAAAATTCAAAACTGTTACAATTAGCGTACCTGCGCCAATATGTTATACGAAACAAGGCTGAATCTGAAGCCTGAATAATAAAAATTGAGAAGCGAAAAAACGTAACTTAATTGAACAACGTGAAATTCAAAGGAGATTGAAAAATCAAGGTTAGGTTCGTTACCATCAGGTTTACTTCTGGAATGTATGTCTGAGCCTTCCACGGAAACGAACTTGCGAGATGCCGGCGCAGAACTCATCTTACTTACAACACTTCATCCATTGATTCATTCAGCATACACTGTTAAAAGGAACTCAAAGATTTGTCCAAAAGATTGTTAATGGGATTTGAATGTGTAAGCACAGTACCTAGTGGAAGAAGAGTTCGAGCATAGCGCTGCACATGCACCCAATGCTTTCAGCATCTCTTCAGACGATAGAAACAATGTGGCGGCGCTTTTCGTGATTCTAAATACAGGCCCAAATTAGTTCACTGTGGGCCCAGGGGACCTTTTCGGCCCATCAAATCTAGCAAAATCTTTGATTTGAGGGTTTTTCATCCTGCACCCCGTTTTTCATCCTGCACCCCATCACAGGCTTCTGAAAATTTTGATCTGGAATAAGGTGGGATGAGTGTCAATCTCTAGCGGTTTCTTCCTTTTCAAGTGTAATTTGTCTTATTGACTCCATTAAAGCCAAATCATTGCTCTTGTTGTCTTTTATAGAGACTTATCATACTGAAAAAATACACTCTAAATTTTATTGTCTAAATATTTTTTATTTATTTTATGAATATATTTTATATTTCGAAATGTATAATCTAAAATTTATATTATAAAATAAATTATATATTTTGCTTTATAAATTTAAATTCTGAATGGTGTAATTTAATATGTATTTTTTGTTTTATATTACAAAATATACAATTTAAAATATAAATATCTATCACAAATTGTACATTACAAAATATAGAAGTACAGTTAAACATTTTTAATTATGAATAATAAAAATCTGTCCAGACACCATCATTAACTAAAACTAAAAGTCATAAAGGTAAAATTTAGAAATTTTCAATTTATGTGATGTAAGTGGAAGTTACAGGAGTAGATAAAGAAATGACCGTTATTTTATGAAAAGGACCTATAAATGGAAAATAAGGAAGCGTGAAATTTATTGGATGTGAGAAAGCGTGGTGACTATGGATAAGCTGAAGCAATCCATTCGTCAATTTAGATTGTTGAGATTCCACTTGCGTGGCAAACAAGTCTTCAATTTTCGTTCTATAAAATGGCAACAAGTTCAGTGGACATAATCTTCTTTTTCATTATCACTTTCAACCGTTTGGTGCACCAGATTTTGATTGTCATTCACATTGATCTATCTGCCATTAATATTATTTCTGCTCATTGATTGAATTTCTGTGGGACATGTCTTCTGATGAAGACAATTTGGTTTCATCATAACATGTTTATGTTTCAAATTCAAACCCAATAGCATCACTGTATTTGAGGCTTTATATCTATAAAATAACAAAATATATATTGTGATTTTAATCAAATCGCATGGCTATTTTCCATTCAAGTGTCCAATTATTGACCAGTTACACTGTCATCCATTACGATAAGATCGCATAATCACCACCACACTTCTTTTTTTTCTGAAATTTATTTAAGAATGGTTTCCAATCTTATTTCTTAGTGTTTGTCGTCTACCACTTCTCTTCCACTTTATCGCAAGTTTTTCATTTATTCTTTTCACCTAAATATTTTATTTGTTTGATTTTTTAATTTTTTTTCATAGTAAATTTGTACACTATGATGACATGCTTAGTGAACAATCAACAAATATTTTGATTATACATAAAATGGTCTATGGACCGATTGATCATATGGATGAAATTAACACTAAAAATAATTACATCAATTCTAAGTGAGATAATTATTGTTTGGATTGTAATTAGATCAATATTATTCCATAAAAATCTATAAATATAAATTTAATATTCAAAAGTAATTAAATGTTTTTATTATGTATTTATTATTAGAATATTTGGATAAACATGAACTTTAAGATGGAAGTATTTTTTTTTGCATATAACATCTCGATTAGACTAAAAAACAGACAGAAAATTGAAGATAAAACCGTAACCTAAAAGTTAATATTATCTTTCTAAGACTAACCTCAATCTTAAAAATCGAAACACACCCATCTTGAAAAGAAAAATTCACAAATTAATCTCTATCAACATTAGTTACCATAATAAACATGTTCAATGTTCATATTCATAATATTTTTAAATAGTCAAATATTTTGATATAGTGTCAATCTGTATTAGAAAGATGATTGTCATTTGATTTTTATGAAGTTGATAGAGTATATGGCCTTTTCACAACAGTTGTCATAAAAAAGACAGATACGGACCGCGGTGAATGCCATTAATTGGTTTAAATAAACACATAACGGGCACCACAGAAATTCTGAGAAGCACGTTTCCTCGGCATGTTAAGCCGTTGCTTATTCTGATTGTTGAATAACTTGCAGGTGCAGTTGGTGGCTTCCTTGCTTGTTCCGTTAGTTAAACCAACTGAATTAATATATTTTTACTTGAGGAAATGCAGAGTTAGGTTTAGCAGTGACGTTTTGCGATTGCTTTCTTCTGCCAAACTTTGCATAACATGTTATCCAAAAAAGTCCTTTTCCACTTTCGCTTTCCGCGTTCTCTCTCAACTTCCGGTGGTTCCATATTAAATGCATTTGGCCATCACATGTCCCATGAGAAGCACTTAATTTTTTCAGCTGCCACTTTGTTCCATCTTGCATATGCCTTGCCTCCTCCTACATACTTTATTTCTCTATGCTTATCTGCTTTTCTTTCCACAAATCATTAACATTAATTATTTTCTGCAAGATTCTCATCAACAATCGATTAAGACTGTTTTAGACTTGTACTCAATGTATGCATCATATATATATTCTTTTCATAAACAACCATATCTTCTTCTACAATTAATATTGTTTGACTCAAATCAATAGTAAATATTCTCTAAAATATTTAATATAATTGTAAAAATATTCACGACCTAAACTAAAAATTATTGTTTTCGTTTTTCTTCCAAATATGATTCCTAAGTAATGGTTTAATATTGATTTCTTTCAAAAAATTATTGAAATGAGTTTTGTCTTTATCATCAAAATTATATGGTCAGAAATGAAAATTATAACAAAATACACCTTGTTAGTTTCTCATAATTGATTCAATACAAATAGTTTTATATTTTCTTATAATTGGTTCAGATTCAAGATGTATTAAAGTGACTTTAATCTTAGTCTTCTAATTTATATTATATCGTTATATTTTTTTTCTTGTTTCAGAACATATACTTAATAGGTAAGAATAATATTAAATCAATATAATTATTCTGATAATACTTTATTTAACATAATAAATATAATTATAATATGTCCTATAATATTTTATTATACAAATATAATTATATATAACACAAATCTCATCAAATTTAATAAATTTAATAATAGTTGATCACATCAAAATAATAAATCAAATATCAAATATTCCGTTAATTAACTTTATTTGATAATCGCATTTATTTTTTTTTATTTCTACTTATAAATAAAATGTAAGAAGTAATTATTTAACTTTTTCTTATACTCATTTGTATGTTTATATATTTTATATTCTTACTTATATGAGTATTAGAGAGAATTAAGACTCTACTGAATTAATTTTCATTATCAATAATGCATTAACAATTCTTTAATGTCAACAGTATATTAACATGTTTATTGAATGAATTGGGGTATCCTAATCCCTTGATTTGATGGGAGTTAGAAAGTGCTTTTGCGTTTGGCACACAAAGGTGAAATGTGAGGTTGAAAAGAAAGACAAGAAAAGGAGGTTGGTGGCTTTTGGTGGCATTGGAGGACAGCTTTTCTCATTAATGGGAATATAACAAAACATCATGTATAAATTTAGTATAGGAAGTGTTTGTTTAGTGAAACTATGATGTGGTATTTAAGAAATCACCGTCAATCGCGTGCCACTTTTTGTACCTCAACATTGCTACCAAATTCCTAACTTTTCCCACACCCACTTTACAATCCAATCATGCCCTTCACATTCCTTAGATTAGTACTACACTATTCGCTACTTCGTAACACTTTAATTTCTGTATAAACTTTATTCATTTCAAAATTTTATTTTAAATTACAAAACTTTGACATCATTACACCGATCAATGAGGACGAATGCATGCCGATATGTCTCTCCCAGAAAGCAATAATTTACGTTTGGACTCAACGAAACATCGATGCATGTTTACCTTTATTTCGCAAAGACAATCTTAGAAGAACATCATCATCGCCGTGATGAGAATTTGTTTTGTGAAACTGAAAACCCTAAAATTCAATTACTTTAGCATTTTGTCAAAGGAAAAGAAGTGGAGACAGAGAGAGGCGAGCTCATGATGATAAGAAAAGGAGCGTCCACAGGAGAATATTGTTAGGGTTTTGTTTTGTTCCATACTTTTATTTAGCCGGCGCCAAGATTACACATTTGAACCACTCATTCATGTGGGAACACTAAACAACGATAAGATTCGATGCTTTTCACAAGAAACATTCGGGTCGGACCCTGGAGCCCCAGACACAGTATCAATATTCTTATTGCCGTAATTATTCAATAAAGTAATTAAAGTATTTAGTTAATTAATTATGAACTACCCGAAGGCAGAAAACACCAGCACCGTGAAAAATTTGCTGTCTTTGAACTTAGATCCCAGTTTAAGGACATTCTGCGACTAGGTTTACTATGTCGGACTGTTTTATTTTTTTTCTTAAAAACAAGTAAAGAACTTTACTATATAAATCTGCACATTCTTTCACAGAAAAATATAAATTAGCACATTTTTTTAGTGTAGTTTTTGAGGAAATGAGTGTCGGCTCTGGGTTTTTCTGACCAACTGAGAAAAACCTTTGTACTCACAGAACTAACTGACACCATAATTCCATTACTTAGACTGAAGATTTAAGCTCGATACTCTCTCCACCCAACACTGTCACAGAAACAGACTTCTTAACGATTGTTAGTTACATTGTGTTTCTTCACCACCTTATAAGCCTTCACCACCTTCAATTGCCTTTCATTAACAAACCTTCTTCAGTGTTCCTTCACCTGTTTTCCTCAACCCATTCTCCATCTCAGGTACACCTGCTACCGTTTATACTCATACACAAACTGTTATCTTTTTAGTTTTGCCTTTGATCATCTGAATGTTTGTGGGGTTGGAGTGAAGATTTTGATCTGCCTTTGCCTTAGAATATGGGATTAGTTATTGGAATGGAATAGGATCAGTGATTGTGTTTGTGATTCATTTTGTGAAACTTACGGGAAACCTGTGCAGTGCAAGTCGGCAGTTTTGACTTCCATTACGGTGTTGTATTAATTTCTGGTGATGACTGAAATAAATAAGCCGAAATCAAGATTTTAGGAAGCTGTTTGTTTCACCATTTTGAAGGCAACATCGGAGTTTTTCTAGTCGCTGTAACTGCAATTATGGCACATGTGTATATAGTTTCTGGCCATATCAAGGATCACGAAACGTCGATGAAAAAGCAGGTTTTTGGATTTGTGTGTGTGTAGAGGCTAGTGGGAATAGGGGCATTGGGTTTTTTCACCGTGGAAGGAAACCAATATTCGTACAAAAGTCATAAATTCATCTGAGTTATTCTATAGGAAATCAAACTCTTTGGCTCTATGATTTTTGGAATACCAACTGCATGAATAGATCCTTTTTCGGTGAGTGTTAGGTCGAAGTGAAAAGGGAGTTGGAACGATGTATTTTTACTTACATATCGATGGAAAGATCTTGCTCTGTTTTTCTAGTTCTATATGCGTATGTATGTTTATCGTTTTCTATTGGTTGGATTTGTGCAGAATGGAGGGTGGGAACATAAGACAGTGGTTGAACTTTCTGGTTTGTGCACTGCTGTTTCTGATAGCAGAGGCTTCTTATGTGCCAATCACCTATCTTCAGAACGCTGTAGCAAAAGGAGCTGGTTAGGAAATTTGGTTATGTCTTTTCGTATATTAATTAATTGTGCTCTTAACATCATGCTTATTACTTTCAATGATGTTTATAATAATTGGGAAATTGGATTTCAAAATATCGCGCAGTTTGTTTGGATGGGAGTCCACCAGCTTACCATTTTGATAGGGGATCTGGAACAGGGATTAACAATTGGTTGGTTGCTTTTGAGGTTGTTCCTCCCTAAAAGTTTCCATCAATAATGAGACTCAAATATGAAATTTGGTTCATTGTTTTATCTGACTTTTTTTGACAAACTATAGAAGTTCATTGGCTCTTCATCTATTTTCTTTCTGCTAGGGAGGAGGATGGTGCAACAATGTCACTACTTGTCTCTCTCGCAAGACCAATCGTTTAGGTTCATCTAAGCAAATGGCAAAGCAAATTGCCTTTTCGGGAATTATGAGCAACATGCAAATCTTTAATCCAGGTCTTCCCCACTGATCAACAATCTTGTTTCTTTTCATCAATCCAACATTGGTTTAACTTTCTAACGAGTGTTGTAAATTACAGATTTCTACAACTGGAACAGAATCAAGGTTAGGTATTGCGATGGTTCATCTTTTACTGGTGATGTAGAAGAAGTCAATCCAGTAAGTTCAGCTAAACTCTAGGAACTTTGACTTCTAAATTTAATCAAAATATTAATCATGAGTCATTCTGGTTAAACTTTAATACTGTGGTGTGTAAATAAATTAGGTTACTAAGTTGCACTTTAGAGGAGCAAGGATTTTTGCTGCTGTCATGGAGGATTTACTAGCAAAAGGAATGGAAAATGCTCGAAATGTAAGAAATTTTGGTGTTTTGCAACTCTTTTCTTCCTCTTTATTGTTTTTTTTCATTCACTCACCAGAACTTGTTACTACAGGCAATTATTTCTGGATGTTCAGCTGGAGGATTAACTTCAGTACTGCATTGTGATCGCTTCCGAGCTCTATTACCTGGAGGAGCCAGAGTGAAATGCCTCTCAGATGCTGGTTATTTTATCAATGCGTAAGTTATTGCTTTTTACTTTGCCTCTTCCAATAAATATTAAGAGTTCCTTATATCATTTTATGATTCAATGTTACTGTTAACAGAAGGGATGTCACTGGGGCATACCACATTCAACAGTACTTCAGTCAAGTTGTTACTACACATGTACCGCTACTTTCCTTTTATCTGATCAATTTCCATTTTGGCATATGCTGTGTTCTACACACGCACAAAAACTTCTTTCATGGAAGATCTAAGATATTCAAGTCTTTTTTTTTTTCATTCTAATTTTAAAAGGGCTCTGCAAGGAATTTGCCTCAGTCATGCACTTCAAGACTTAGCCCAAAGCTAGTAAGTTTATGAATTAGTTTTATCTTTCTACCTCTGCAATTCCCTCTTTGATTTTACTAATTCTTCTGATTTCTGAACAATCTTGCAGTGCTTTTTCCCACAATATTTGGCGTCACATATCACTACGCCGATCTTCTTTGTAAACGCGGCATACGACTCATGGCAGGTCAGATAATTCTTTTGCTCAAGATACATGAGTGTATTTGCAGAGTGAGGCTTCTGTTTTATTGTTTTGGTCATGCTAAACCGACATTGATCTGTGTAAAACTTGTGGTTTCTTATGCAAAATAAACTTTGTATCAGAAGTTGAACCAAGATTATTTTACTTACTCTTCTTAAGATTTCTATCATTTGATGTTTTACTACTAGCTCTTAATAACTGGAGAGATGATTCCAGTCCTTTCCCTAATCCTCAGAATGTTGTTTTGATTCAGATTAAGAACATTTTGGCACCTGGTGTTGCTGATCCTGAAGGCCATTGGCATAGCTGTAAGCTGGATATAAACAACTGCTCACCTGATCAATTAGATCTAATGCAAGGTGAGTATTCTTATATTAATTATTTGTGTACCATGGAATCATGGTAAAATCCAAACTGAGAAATTTTATTTTGTAAAATAACCCTCAGAATGATGTCTGTTGTTTAGAACGCCTCTGTCAACAAGTGTTCATACTTTTAATCGAGTTATAAGGAAAACAACTTACTGAGATCACAATATCATACCTTGTCATATCTGAACTTTGGCCAAAGCTTTTAAGGGCCAACGAAATTCCTGATTTCAAGTCATACGTGGGTTGATTTTCAGGCTTCAGGACAGAATTTTTAAGGGCATTGACAGTGCTAGGCAACTCTTCATATAAAGGAATGTTTATAGACTCTTGCTATGCCCACTGCCAAACTGAAATGCAGGAGACATGGTTGAGAAGTGACTCTCCAGAGCTGGAAAAGACAGTAAGAAGCTGCATTTTCTAAACCCCACCCCCTCTTCAGAAAATATAACATACTTACAAACATTTTTCCATCTCTATAAATATACCAACTTTTAGTTATAGTTTCTTCAAAATATATTTATGATCCTTGTGATGTTCAAACTTTAAGTTTTTCTGTCTTTCTTATCAGTCTTCATTACAAAAATGTCTGGTGATTCCATAAAGCATTGCCATGTGACAATGCCACATTACAAAATACGCTAGCCTCGGGTGACAACGCCTGATGAAATCACAAAACCTTTTTGTAATGGAGATTAATGGGAAGACAAATAAGTCACAAAGTTTGAACATTATAACATAAATAAATAAAAACACCGAAAGAAAAAACTAGTGTGTTTGTATAGATTAAAAACATATTTGAACATATATAACATATGATGAGTTACATAGTGTTTTTGCCTTGTTATTGTCTTTCCTTCATAGCTGACTTGTCTGCGTAACACTCTGCAGACAATTGCAAAGGCTGTAGCAGACTGGTTTTATGAAAGAAGGACATTCCATCAGATAGATTGCCCTTACCCCTGCAACCCCACTTGTCACAACCGCGTTTTCGGACCAGAAGACGACCACCAAGGAGTATAGATACATTCATTTCATCAAAATTTAGCACACATTTATTTCTACCATTCCTAAAAACCACACTTATTAGTTATTAGTTAGCAACATCAGATTGAATAAGAAAATATGATTTCCAATTCTATTAGGCCATAAAAATAAGGAAATGCCACCACTGCACTGAACTTGTGTGCTGGGTGTACCTCCACCATTGTTTAATGCCACTTATTCTCAATAAAAACTAGTGATAGTATATTCTTTCTATGCTTCTGTTACTTGATACGTAAGAGCTTTATGTGTTGTGTGTATGTTAGAAAAATGTGACCTCGAAAGGAACGTCAGATGCATCAGCCAGAAAGCTCAATTTTCCGAAACTAACAAACAAGGTGAGCTATGCTTAGTTGCAGTATTCTGCTATGAACCACTCATTTTATTCCAAGGGTTAGAACCAGACACGGGAAAAACTGAAATAGACCACAATGTAATTTGCTTCAATCATTGATTGTGGTATTAAAAAAATATTATTAACATACATGCTTTTCTTTAAAACAGAGAAACCTTATCTTACTGAAATATATTATTGACTAATACAGTGCCATATTTTCACAAATCAATTCGACATAAATTTAATTAAACACGAGCTTTGAGCGATTGCAATTGTCCTTTCTCAATTTTCATCTCTCGAAGCTCTAATCACCGTCGCTAGCCGCCGCGAACTAAACTCACCTTGGCCGGAATCCTATCGTTTGAAGCGGCGTTAGCTTTGTAACCTGTCTTGTCGTTTACCTTCTTCAATCATGTCGTTTTTTCTAACACAACTACAATTTCTTCTCACTGGGGTGACCAAAGTAAAAAAACATATATGTCTGGATTTTGAGGATTCGAATGTTCATACTTAAATCATCGGTACCACGTTTTATACAGTATAAATGAAAACATTTTTTGCGGTACATAGGATTTCATTCTAGTATTTTTATTTTGACTGTCTTATGCACCTTAACATCATGAAGTATGACGAGGAAACTTGAACTTTGTTTACTTAATGTTTCATTTTGTTTTTCTATTCCATTTTTAGGCACAATGGATTGAGCTTGTGTGCATTAATGGAGGAATCAATGGGCTTCTACTAACGTTGGGTCTTATGGTAAACATAAATGTTTAAAGCTGTTTTTTTTTTTTATAATTCTTAGTTCATAAATTCTGCAAGAGGGGTGACATTTATATGGGTCCTACTTGCATCTTGTAGATCATCGTATAAAAGCTGGTTCGAATTCTGACACGGCTGGACCATATCTTCCACTGTCTTCCATGTAAATGATTTACTGTTGTGAACTTTCGACTGGTGTGAATTTTGTTTTATTGTTGAGTGACATGTTGCTGGAGTAGTTTCCAAAGCTGATAGTGATAGAATCCTCTAGCTTCTCGCACTTGTTCAGTAACAGTTTCCCAATTCATTTCATGGGACCACAATCTTTGTTAGTATCACAGGGTCTATGACCCTATTCACAGTGAAACTGTTTTGGTTCTTGTGGATAGATATTGTATGATCCCCTTGTTTGTTGTAACATAGCTTTTTCTTGTGTGAAATGGAATTATGTGTTGATATGCCGTTTGAGATTATCAAAATTTCCGATGTTGTTTGAAAATCAGTGGTTGAAATTTAGTACTTGTTTTTGTTGAGAATTTTCAGTTGTTGTCTGGTAAACTTTCTGTTGACTTTGTTGAGGAACTGCTACTTGGATTTTTCTTTTTGTTGGTTAAAAATAATGGATTGATCAATTGGGTGCTGCTTGTGCAGAGGAAGCAGGAAAAAGCCAATCCCATTGGATTGAACAATTTTGTGGCCTTGTACAGACTGCAATAAATTCCAGACACAGCTTCATAATTGGATTCAGTCAGAGTAAGCTTGAACTTACTGCAATTGCTTGGCCTAAATAATTATTTTCTGCCTTATTTTTGGGAGAGAGGATGTTCTGGTGTTTCTGTTTGACTTCTTTTTCTGTGCCATCTATTATGAGAAACATTTATGCATCTTTTGTTTAAGGTGAAACAGTTGGAGGAAGGGCGTTTTGGTAGGATGAAAAAGAAATGAAAGTTCAAAACTTTGGTGGGCTAACTTTCACTCAAAAAGAGAAGAAAACTTGAAAAATTAGGTGGATCATAATTGATTATACGAACAACATGCATCTTTATTTTCAAATGCTGTGTCAATTCACGCGAACTGGCTAAGTTCAAGGTGCATAAAGCCTGCTGGTGAAGCTGCAATTGTAATACTGACAGCATATATCATAGTATCTTGTTTTGTAAGAACAAATTCATAATTTCTAATTCACCATTTTAAGGAGTTGCTTTCAATATAATTTTAAACATGGCATTAGTAAAAGAATGTTACTGATCATGGAATTCATTTGTTTTTCTCTCTTTGCAGACTAATCTGTTACTCCAACAGGTGTGAAGAAGTTCCATTGGCTCAGCATCTTGCACCTACTAGACACTTTGTTTTGTTTTGTTTCTTTCTGTAGTATTTGCTCATTATAGTTTTGAAGGCTCAACTTGTCAAAGGAATACAAAATAAAATAAAAATATCATATGATCATTTACATATCTCTGTAGGTGACATCATCATTGTTAGATTTTCTATGAGGCTTTAAGATGAGAGCTCCACTGGCCACTAATGGGTTATCAACACACATAACTAGTGCATCCATATCCACTATTATTGTATCCATTCATATCAACATTGCTGAAACACCAAGTTTATTTCTTTTTTCTATCACTGCTTAAAGAGTTAGTGTTAAAATCATTATATTTTAAAGAAGATTCTGATATCATTTTCTTTAGTAATCTGACATTTTTCTTCTTTCAATTATTTGTTCATTTCTAGCAACATCCATGAACAATTTTTGTGTTTCAAGTGATACAAATATACATTTGTCAGAATCATGTAGACCATGTTAATATGTTATCTGATTCATCATACTGCATATATTTGGAGTTTATGTATCTGGGCCTTTGACATTACCATTTGAATATGGTGTGACAGAATAATAAAATCATCCTGTTAGGGAAACCACAAAAAAAATTAAAGGTTAAATTATTTAGTAAATTATTGAATAATTCATGTAGACCATCTCAGTGTATTATCTAATCCATCACCGATTGATTTGGACTTTACGTATATGTGCCTTTGATGTTACCATCTGAATTTGATGGGACACTAAAATATCACACAGATCATAAACTTACAAGTTATTTATAATTGAAATTTAAAAATTTCAAACATTTTTTTTAATTTGAATTATAGATTTGAAACACATGTTATCTAAAAATTGTTAAATAGTTCCATAATTTTCTTATTAATTCACCCCAGTAATATAACCTTTAATCAGTCAGTTTGATTTTTTTAGAAAAAAATTCTTATGTTTTTAAATTTCACAGTTAGAATTAGAACATTTTAGTAGCACGTACTGATCCTTGATGCTGAGTTTTGAGATATTGTCAATACAATGTCTGAAATTTTTTTTACAACAAAAGTTTACTCCATAAATCTCATTAAGGGATTTAATAATAATAATAATATACATTTATTTGAAACATTCAAAACATTGCAAGAACTTATTCCTTAATTTAAAAGCAATCTTAAAATTAAAATTAAAACACCTTCATCTTAAGCAAGAATCTTCTACTTGTGGATCTTCTATCAATCTGATAGCTCGGTCCAGATTACTTGATGGAAACAACGTTTGGAAAGAGTTGACTCCGTATTGAAGACTCTTTAATGATTTCTACTAATTTTTATTTTATTTTCAGACCAATTAACGTTTGTCTTTCAAAAGATGAAAAAAAAAACTTTTTCAGACCTTTTCTTTAGGTTACGTTGAACACGACACGTTCTTTTAGGTGGGTTTGGAAGGAAATACATCTGTGGTTCTGTAACACATTAATAATTAATAATAATAGAAATAGAGAGTAGGTCAAATTAATCATTTTATTATTATTACAGGTAATATTTATTCCAACACAATCAGTATAAAATAAATTCAAGATTTAATGTTTTTTTTTTCACAGAAGCGTTCGTAACGGGAGTTAAGTTAGTTACCGTTACCATGTGAGTACGGTGTTTTTCCAACAAAAAGAAAAGGTTGAAAACAAAAGACGTGGGAGAGATTGAATGTTAAAATAAGGTAAAATGAAAGAAAATAAAAGGTGTTGTGTTGGGGGCAGCTCCACCTGATTTGTGAAATTGAATGCGATTGAAAGACACGCTGCACTCATCGTACACCAGAGACACCTATATTTTAATCCCCAGAATCGTGGGGGCACACAAAAATTAAATGTCATTTTCTTCTTAAATTAAACTACAAAATTTTAATTTTAATTTTAATATTAATTTAATCCACTGTAATTTTCGTAAGAACAAAAAGTCTGCTATGATTAATTATTGGATAAATTATGAGTGTTATTTATTGAATTAATTTAAAGTATAGAAAACAGCTACTACTTTATTTTGCTTGTTAATTATTTTATGTTCTCGTCGCTTTTCTTACAAAAAAAGCCTCCTTTTCCGTTTCCCTGCGAGTTGCTTTGTCTCATTCCCTCAGCTACTCCCATCACCACCACACTATCTTTTCCCTCTTTACCCTCTTCTTTTCCCTTCTCTCTTCTTATTCACATATTCACATTCAAAAAATTCACACACTTCAATCCAATGCACCACAACATCCCGCAAAAATCTCACTTTACTTTCCCATCTCTGTAGATCTGAACCACCCGGGATCTCAAAAAAACCGCATTTTGATTTCTGGGTCTTGCCGTTTGCTCCATTTGGGTACTCCAAAACGCTTTTTTTTTTGCCGGGTATCTGGTTGTTGGCAGAGGAAGATGGGGTCCAGTGGCAGCAAAGCCAGGTCGTCGTCGTCGTCTTCGGGGAGTTTCAGGAAGGGTCGATCTAAGGGGCACAGAGGTTTCCCATCTTATTGTCTGGGAACGTCGTCTGGATCTCGTGACATTGATAGTGACGACCAGGTAATACTAACTTCCTTGGTTTTTCAAACTTTTTCGCATCCTTTTCAGTGTTACGTCAATTAGATTTTAATTTAAGGGATAATTATTTTCAAAATTTTCATTAAGTTTACCTTTTTTTTTTATATTTTAAAATCAAATATTACTTGATTGAATTTGCCGTTACTTTCAAAGGTGTTTGAAAGCTATTGGTTTTCGTGATTTACTGGTGAGACTCCTAATAAATCGATTCTTAATGGAAGAGATGACGTTATTTAATAAGGTTCTTGAAAAATGCAATAGTATTTATACAGTAATGAAACAGCTAATTATGCATTGAATTCCTGATAAACAAGTGTTGGAAAGTGCTGGTTAGTCTGCTCCGATTCTTGTATTGGGGAAACTCGCCTACTGCCAATTGGTTTATGGGTGAAATCTGAAATGTGGCAGAACCATTTTGGTTTATGGGTGAAATCTGAAATCTTCAAAAACAATTATAATGCATTGTGATTCTGTTTCAACTTGCAAATTTTTTAAATATTGATTGGTGGTGTATTAGGACTTTCTTAACACCTATGCCTCTGTCTTGTTATTAGCCTCTTTGTTCTATCAAGCCTTATTTTGTTTTCAGGCTAAGAAATGCCCGTAAGATTGTTTAAAAAGCAATATAATGGAATAGTTTTTCTTTTTCATTTGTTCTCATACATTTGTTTCCTTGTGTCAGTGTCATGTAATGGAAAAGTTTTGGAATTGGTCAAGGTTTTATCTTACTAACTGGCTAACTGTAGTTTGAAACACATGCTTTAGGTTTGTGATCAAAATAAAGTAAACCGAGATGATGTGACATACACCAGTGGCAATGAAATAGACTCAGATGAAGGGAAGACAGAGTCTTTTAGAAAGGTGAAACCTGGTAAGTCTGATGAAGTGCCTTCTAACATTGACCTTGAAGAGTGGCGTCACAGTGCATCAAGAACTGGTAGCAGCTCTGCACATTCTTCTTCAAACCACTCCTTGAACCCCTCAAGTCGGTTCTTGTCTCGCTTTAGCCTTGTTCCTGGTAATATAAGCTTCAGACTTAGCAGAACCACAAGTTTGGGATCATCTAGGCCTTGCCCTGTTTCTTCAACAAGTATCTCAATATTTAATGATGAAGATGAGCTTAGTCTACATTCAGGGCCTCCTGGCAGCTTGATTAATAGAAATGAAACTCAACACCGTAGTGATTTGCTCAATGCATCTTTTGTTAGTCAAGTGCCTATGCAGTGTCATGAAGAAGCTTCTAATAATTTGCGTCCTAATGCCCCAGCATTGGTTTCACCTGGTAATTTGGCTAGTAGTCGCCCAGTTTCTTCTATCCAGGATGTGGGTAGAGATGGAAATGGTGCAAGAGAAGTGCCTGATGCCAACATGTTTTCTCCAAGAATTCATACTGATACAGAAAATATTGAGACTAGACATACTGATAGGCGAAATGGAGCTCGAGAACCTGTGGAACGTAATGTTCGTTTTAGCCGAACTTTAAGTGTTGGAAGGCTCCGTGACAGAGTTCTCCGCCGATCAACGTTGTCAGACTTCACCTTTTGCCCCATGCAACGAGAGAGAGAAGTAAGAGAGGCTGGTCAAGAGAATGGAAGACGAGTAGGGGATAGAGAAGCAAGAGTGTCACCAACTGGTCGTAATGCTTCAAATTCTTCTACACCTAGATATCCTCTACCCAGTACACCTAGCTCTTTGTTTGGCATCCAAGACTATGAAGTTGAGACTTCACGTTCTAGAGAAACTAGGTATCAGGATCTGCTGGAACATAGGTCCAATTTCCTGGAACGGAGAAGAAGAATACGGTCCCAGGTTTGTGGATTTTATGAACTTTATAATTAACAACTAACTGATGGTCTGATAATATGCTTCCAAACCCAAAAATTCCCTCATTATTTGAGGCTTTTGAAACAAAAATAACAAATATTCAGACTAGTAGTTTTTTCTATGGAAACATCTGTGCAAGTTCTCTTAACCAATCACTGGAATTTGATTATTGTTAATGATGCAAATTTATATGGTCTAGGTCCGTGCTCTTCAGAGGTTGGGTAGCCGGTTTGAAAATCTTTCTGGACATGACAGATCATGTATCTTGTCTGGTCAACACAGAAACGGTCGTTGTGCATGCAGAACCAATAGTCGGGATACCAATTCAAATGATGATACCAATGCTAGAGCTAGCATATCAAGAATTGTTATGCTAGCTGAAGCCTTGTTTGAAGTGAGTTTAATGTGCTGTTTATCTATTCTAGTGGCCATTCATTATATATTTATGCAGGTTAAATATTTGTACATATTTTAATTAGGTTCTGGATGAAATTCACCAGCAATCTGTGGTTTTATCTTCTCGCCCTTCTGTGTCATCTATCGGTTCCATTCCTGCACCTAATGAAGTTGTGGAATCCTTGCCTGTCAAATTATACACAAAGTTGCACAAACATCAAGAAGAACCTGTACAGTAAGTATTCAAGCTCAACCTCCTCCCAGTGTGGACTCATTTTCTTAAAATGCCTTTTCATTTTTCTTTTCCATGTCCACTTTCATTTCCATTTATTTTGTGTAAGTTATTCCCTCTTACATCTTCTATCCTGTGTGACATGTCTAACAAATTTTAGAACGTATGTAACTTTTCCTAACAAAGATTAAAA